ACGAACAGCAAAGAGCAAGGGGTTGCTACCTAGTTGTGTTTTCACAGTCTTATGTAGCAAATGGGCTTTTTCCCCTTCAGCCATATCGTTGGGTTTGCTTTCTGAAATATTGAAGTCTTCATCAGTACCGGAAAAATGCTCTCACTTTTTTGCATGCTTTGGGCTAATAGAATAGTTTTCAGGAGGCGTACAACGACTACCTTTCTCTCAACAGCCCAGCAGGTAGCGGAGCCGTTGTTAGCGCTGATATCGATCTTCCAGCAAAGTACGCCTCTCCCAACGGCACTCGAAACGATGTAGATGTGTTTCATCCCAAAGTAGGCGCTCCTCCATCATCACACTTAGAATGCCCTAGCACGGCTTTTCCTTCCAGGCTTCGCGTACGCTGTACGTTGGGGGCCTAGAAAGTCGCATTTCCGACGACACACTTCGTCGACGTTTTGGGAAATTCGGGACTATCTTGGATGTAGATGTGAAAAATTACGAGTCGCCTTCGCCTTTTGCTTTCATCCAGTTCGCTGATATAGACTCTGCTGTACGTGCAATAAATGCACATTCTAGTGCTGGGGTACCTGCGAATAAAAAGGGGAAGGTAATTTAGCTTTGATACTTGTTTTGTACTTGTTCTTTATTTTCACCGACTTCTTCGCCTATTGCAGAAATTCCAGCCCAACTTCGGCCGATCGATGACGACGAACAAGTTATGGATTGGCTCCATACCTCTACAGTGCGCTGAGGACTATGTTATACAGAAACTTCGTTCGCTATCTGAAGGTAATTAGCTGTCACCCATTTAAATATAATCTAGGATATACGTTTAGGGGTTGTCGATGTGGTTGTTGACATGCGTGTGCGGCAAGCAATAGTTGTATTTTCTTCCACTGAAGCAGCTCAGGCCGCCTTAAATCGCATCAAAGCTGGCGTTCCTAAGCAGTTGTAAGTGATAATTTATTTAATTTGTCATTTGGTTCTATATATAAGGCGAAAGTGAAGGGCATGGTAAATGTTACGACACTGTTACTCTGAATTGGTGAATGCAATTGGTGCTATGCTGTCTTGAATTAGAGAAAGGGGATTTGTTGGTTTGAAAACAAGAACGAGAAACGTCGCTATGAAACGAGGCGACCACTGGGAATGAGTTTCGTTGCCTAAGGCATAGCAGAGGCGGGTCGATACGGGTGGCGCGTGCCTGCGCCCCCTCGCTCG